GAGAAATCTTTAAAAGTCCAGTGGTGGCAAGTTGCTAAGAACTTTACTCAAGCAAGTATAATTTGGAGCTACCTGTACTTTACTTGTTGTTCCATTTATTTGCAGCTACTAATTAACTTTTTTTTTTCAAAATTAACAGATTTTGAATACTAAAGTAATCTGAATTCTGAAATGGCCCATTCAGCATATGTGCCTCTGAATTTTTGTGTTTGTGTTTATCTTAACATTGTTTGTGTTTATCTTAACATTGGTTTTGCTACTTTTGCTAAATTAAAAAACATTATTCTATAACCACTCTAAAAGTGTATCGCAACCAATTTTCATATTTTTGAGTTATCAACACAATCAAACTAAAAGGGTCAGTTCACCCAAATGACAAAAATGCATATTTTCTCACTTAGCTCCTATGGTATAGGCATTTTTGGTTTTTATGGTGTTAATTTATCTATCTCTGAGTTTTCGTTCAATGTGACTACTGTTTGTGGTGCTCAGAACAGTATCATCTTTGTCCCAGTGACCCTGAATAACCCACAATCTTCACTGTGATAAATTATGGTTGGAACTCTTCCTGCTTACCAAACAAATAGTTTGGATTATTCAGAGAAACTCGAACTGATTTTGTTATTTTGCAGAGCTGTGAGCAACACAAGCAACATTCCATTCACCTCCATTGTCCTTAAAGGGGCCCTATGATGCTCATTTTCAGGTTCATATTTATGTTTTGTCTGTACGGTGACATGTTTCCATGCTTTATCCTTATTATTTTTCTCATACTGCCTCTTTTCACCCTCTGTCTGAAACCAGAGCCAAGTCTGCTCTGATTGGTTAGCTGGCCGGCTCTGTTGACTGGTCAACCCTAAGAGATGTCCAGCCCCTTCGCCTATCACGAACATTGTGTTGGAGCGCTAGTCAATAGAACAGGCAGTGTTACGTAGGGTTGTCACTATGTTACGGAAGTAGATAGGACTACAATTGAGGCGTTTCATGCAGGGGGGAAGGAGTGTAGGAGAGACATTCTTTTTCTTTCTTTTTTTTTTTAAAAGCATAAAAGGGCCCCTTTAAGGTGGAAGCAGAAATCCCATAGATGTTCCTCAGCGGATAAAACAAAACACCAACAGTTATAAGTAAGGAAAGGTTTTTCACAATTTGGATGTACTGATCGTTGAAACTTGTTAGTTGCTCATGCAGATTGACTTGATATAAGGGGTTACTTAAAGCGTGGATGAATAGATGATGATGATGATGATGATTTCTCAACGGTACATTCTTGCAGATGTGCTGACAGAATATTTGTCTGTACCATCTCTGTTCCTTATTATGTTGTTTTGGCTGCTCGGCGTACTGCTAAGATGTTTCCTCGCCCTGCAGCCAAGAGTTATTGTGACAGAGTAAACTGGTCCCATGAGTTAGGTGAGGCGTGCCAAGGAGATGAGTTTATGAGCTGACGTTCAGGGAAGTGCGTCTCTGCAGGACCCCCATATCCCCTCTCCTCACCTTTGTAAGGCCCCTCACCTCGGCTCACTCTCTGCTTAGCACCGGACAGGATCCCTGGTGTGTCAATAATGCTGATACTCTCCAGGACCTGGTTGGGCATCTGCGCGCACTGGAACCTGTGTTACATTTTATCAGCAGACATAAACAACCAGAAGCTCAGAGGTCGGTTTTGTTTAGAGCAGAAGGATAGAATCTAAATCATGTGAAAAATTGTTAACTCTTATCAAAGAAGCCAACGTGATCTAAGTTGCAGATTGGAAGCAGCCCCCCCCCCCTCCCTGTGCAGACCATTGTGTTCAAGCAGGCCTCTCATTGCTGTGGGCTTCCTGAAGGAAAATGACCACCACTGCCAGAATCAAACAATAAGGCCCGCTAACGATGTTAGGCTTAGAACAACAACACCACTTCCTGCGGCTCATGGAACTAACGAGCCCACCGGTCCCAGAACGGGAAGTTAAAGCACAAGTGGAGACGCAAATACGTTCACAAACACACCCTGCAGAGGGAGAGGGGGACTCCGGAAAACTGCCATCAGAGCTTTCACGTAAAAGAACCATCAATAGTACGACTGTATGCGTTTCATACAGCACTTAATTGTGAAACATGTGACTTCAATCTTGGAAAAAGACACACAAATCTGGCAGCCCAGACGGTAAACAGAGTATTGGAAAGAACGTAAGCTTGCTCTTACAGGTTCCCTGGGCCTCACACAAACTGTTACTTCATTTATTTATCTTAGCCCCGAGGGGCTATGGAGCCCTCTGACCTCGACTCTGAACTTGCGTACATATCAGTTCCTGTCTGAGTACATTAGCTTTCATCACCCTGTCCAGTGATGTCGCTCCCTTTCTCCGTTTTTCCACAAATAAGGAAAGTGCCTCCCTGCTCTAAAATTTGGCACGAGGGCTTGAAATTCCATAAAGCCTAAAATCTTTCTGTTATCTTTCCTTCCCCGGGTTCTCTCACAGTCTATCCATTTCGTGCTGATATCTATCTGGCTCCCTCAGCGGAAACATTACACAACACTGTGTGGAATAGACCAACAGTGTGAACAAACCCCCCCACTCTCACCTGTTGAGGAAGGTGTTTCCAAAAGGGTTGAGTTTGCGGAAAGGCTTGTTGGGGTCTACGATAAGGGCGTTCCCGGGGATGACGCCCTCCACCTCCCCGTGCATGACCGCTGTGAAGCAGTCGGTGGTGGGTTCAGGTCCCACCCTGCTCCCTGGGATATCCTGCTCCAGAAGATACCTGTCAATCACACATGTAACTTGTCATTATCAGTACTGGAAAACGAACGCACACACAATTTAAAAGTGTTTGATGCAGAGCCGTAACGTCTTACTTGATGAAGGTTGTCTTTCCAGTGGAGTACTGCCCCACCACCAGCACCATGGGCTTATTGTCGAAATCTGCATCCTCCAGACTGAGAGAGTGGAAGTCATTGAAACCATAGTACTCCTCCAGAGGCAGCAGCTTCTTACGATACAAGGACTTGAGGCCTTCTGTCACCGTGCGGATCACCTCAGGAGCCTTTTTCACATTTTTCCTCCCCCAGCGTGACATTTCGTTTATTGACTAACTAGATGATTTGTACAAAAATATGCGCAACTGTGTCCGTTGTCGTCTTTCCTGAACCTTGGAAAGAGCTTCAGGTGCTTCCTGTATTTATGCGAACAGTGCTCACTTGGCCTTGAAACCTCCTCTGCACACGTCCAGAGGAACGATAGGGCTGATATGTCGTTTGAAGTCAGTATCTTCCCCTGTGGCCCACACCGATAACTTTGAGTGCCTGTAATGTGGACAGAAAAGAAGATGAATCCAGTCTTCTTTGCACCTGGTGATGTAAGTGTGCCACCGCCTGGAGCGAGGATCTGGAGGGAGCTTCAGCCCAACAGGAGTCTGCCAAGCATTGTCAGTGCATGCCTGGAAAAAGTTAGTGTTCAGGCTGGAAAACTTGGAAACCCAGCCCTGCGTCAGGATGTGCATAGGCCCACATAATTTTCTTCACAGTGAAATGAGTAAGACATTCCTTTTATCTCCCTGCGCATGGCTATGCTAAAGAAGAAAATCTCACAGGGAGGTCTATATAAGGAAACATTTAGGTCACTTTTTTTCCTTTTAGTCTATATAAACAGAGACACTGTGTTAGAAGCTGAAGGCACTACTTATTATCAGAAGCAAAGATAAGACACGTGTCAGCAGACGTTCACTCATCTGTGCAGATCTTCTCCCTAATCCTATTTAAACTAGGACAAGAAAATGTAAGTGCCGAGAGGAGAATACAGTCCTGACATGTCACAAGACCAGTGTGGAAAAAATTTCTTGTCAAAATGGCGAACCCTGGAGATCATCAGGAGAAACATTACAATGTGAATTTACTGCCATTACACACAAAAGAACTGAGTAAAAGTTGCTTTACAGAATTAAAGGCTTGGTTTATGGGTCTGGGACCAATTTCTAAAGTTTAGGGATGGTGGAAAATGCCTTGTGGGTTTGGGCACCACAATTGCAACACAGTTTTGGAAATGTAACATGCAGCAGCAACAAGTATCAGGGGAGTCATACTTCAACATCCTAATGGAGCAATGGAAAAAGTTGTTCAAAAAGTTTCCTGTTACCAATTACGCAGCTAAGTTGTGATATTGCACTCAAATGCCACCATGACTAAGTTTCCACTACTGTACCACAATCTGGATGTATTGAAGTTTAAATAAAAGTGAATCATTAAAGTCATGTTATAAGAAAAAAAAGTATTTACCAAGTTGTTATGGAGACTTCTTCCAGCGTCTTGATCTCCCTCTGCAGTCTCGCCCTCTGGAGATTGGAAAATATTTAAGGAGACAAAAACACTCTTTTGCTGAGGAGCTGCTGCTACATGTATGGGTGTAGCTCTGACAGCGAATAGGAGCCCTCGGTGGAGCGTCAACGGAGCTAGATTACAGAGGAATCATTCTTCTCCTGGCTTTAATGTCTTTCAGATGAGCTCCAGATCTGGCAAAAGGTTCCTCACTCTGCGTGCTGTAGGAGCACAAGTCAGACAGTGAGACACACAATTGTCCTCTCTCCCCCTGCTTTGCTTCTACAAGTTTGAGTGCACTTCTCTTGCAGGGATGCCTGGCAACACTGTGGGCAATACTAGGCTCGGGGCAGGGATGAGCGGAGCTGTGGTCAGAAGGCGTGGACTTGGAGGAGGGGGCTGTGAATAAATTATTTGGGTGGAGTCTTTTTTTTTTACAAAACATGACATAGCCTCGGTGTCCCTATGCATACTTTGCCTGATAATCACAACCTGGTGCTGCACCTCTCTTAACTCCTTAATTCCCTTTTCCTAGTCGATCTACTGTAACATGGCATAAGTTTACAGATGTGATTTCCCTCTCATCAGCCTAACCCCTCTCGCTCCTCCCAAATTCTTTGAACCCTTGAGGCGATGAAGCACACAAACCAGTGCTACTTTTCCACTTCTGTGCACCGCCTGCTGGCTGTCTGATAGATAACACCACCATCATCATACAACACTGCTGCTCAGTCATCATTAGTCATGCAAAGCACCCTGATAGCTGGACAAATGACTGGAGAAGTTGCAATGTTTCATAAAAGAAGCAAGGTTTAATTTACAGTTTTACTAAATGTACATTTCTTTTTAAAAAGTGTCATTATACACAATAAATACAATACAAAATTAATCTGTAATACTATACTTCAAATTCTCTTACGGTCTTTTTGTACATTATTATTGTTCCTTTTTTTCCGTTTCAATGCTTGTGCTGTGTTTGCGTTGGAATTGTCCACCAGGCTTAAAGAAAAAGAAAATAAGACAAACAGATGGGAGGCAGGGATACAGTGGCAGAGAGATGAGACAGACTGGCTGAGAAGACAGAAATACAACATTTAAAACTGGCCTGCCCCCTGCTGACTGAAATGCATAAAATCTGAACCCCAGCCACAGGGAGGCAGGTAGGTGTGTGTGTGTGTGTGTGTGTGTGTGTGTGTGTGTGTGTGTGTGTGTGTGTGTGTGTGTGTGTGTGTGTGTGTGTGTGTGTGTGTGTTCTAACAACAAGAACCCAAAAAATCATCTGGCATCAGAAACAGAAAAAAAGTTCTCTTACAACATTTCATAAACATCTTCAGTCTTACTGTACCCAAGGGGAGTCAAAAATAATATCACATTTTATAACATTGACTTTAAATGGAGGCCAGGAGGCCAATAGATTTCCAGATAAGAGTAGTTGCCTTGTGTATAAGGAAATGTATTTTGAATATAGGTGGTCTGTATCAATTCACCATGTGCTGTTTGCATCTGCAGGGCAACATTATCTTTCTGATAAGGAGTCCAATTTGGTTAGTAATTGAACATACTGCACGTATTTTGAAGATTTTTAAAGTATGTACTCAATTTTCAAGGTGAAAAGAGTTGATGACTTTCTAACTGTTTCAATGAGCTGCTTGAGACACCTTTCAAACCAGGAGATGAACTGTGTGAATCAGTGACTGGTGCTCAGGCCATATGAAAGGAATGTATGAATACTGAATGAGAAAAAAGAAAAGATCTGAAGTGTAAAAGGAGAGGGAGAAATAGAGAACATCATCCTGTGACAAATTCATCTTGTTACTCAGGCTCGAGAGCTGAGATAACACGTACAAAATACCAGGCGCCTTCAGTTCACAGAGAGCAGTTTTACCTGCTTTGACCACACGCTACACCGGACAGTGAATGACAAAGAGATGTCTGGACAATTCAGATGGGCGAACAAAGCAAACACAGCATGGCAGAGTAGAACAGTGATACTGTCTTCAGTGCCCCGCTTCCACTGCCTTTAAATCTTTCTCTCAGTCCCGCCCCCCATCCCCCGTCAGCCTGGCCTGGGGCTGAGGGGCTGTTATCTGCTGTGAGTCTGCGGCACCAGGCTGCCATTGTGACCGCGGCCACCAACCTGAGGGTGCTGGGCCAAGGAGGAGGACGAGGAGGCGGAGGAGGAGGGTGGTACTGAGGGTCTGTGGGACGAGGCTGCCGAGCCCCCCGGGCGCTGGCTTTGATGTGACCTGCTGCCCCCCCCTTTAATGCGGGCAGTGGGCTCCTGCTGCAGGTTGAGGATGCTGTCGATGGCACACTGCAGGTGCTCATTCAGAGAGTCGTCCGGGGGGCTGCCGCTGGAGAAACTGGCGTTGTCCATGTCGGGGGAGTCCGACTTGCAGCGCTTGGCAGGGAGCAAAGAGTCCCGTGTAAAGGAGGACTCTGGGGAGGGAGGCCCAGGGGCATGCTGGTCCATTCTGAACGTCCCACCTGCCCTATGTCTATTTTTCCCACTCGCCCTCTTGTATTTACTTACATCAGTCTCTTGGTCTGTGTGCTCATCCCCTCTCTCCTTCGCCCCCTCTCTGTCCAGGGGCGGCTGGAGGTGATGGTGCTGCGTTTTGATACCGCGGTTAAACACCTCGTCCATTTCCTCCAGCCCCTGCATTGCACTACCTAAACGGCCTGTGTCGTGGCTCGACTCTGTGTGAGGGTGCGAGGCCTCCCTCCCTCTTTTCTCTACCTTCACACTGGCTATTACTGTCCGCTCTGAGGGAGGGGATGAGGCTTCGTGCCTCGGGGGTGAAGGCGTGGGTTTGGGGTAGGACAAGTTTTCGTCTCCTCCCCCTGGGACGCCGGGTCGGACTCGGGGACTAATGTTTTCTCGGTAGGTTTTTCGAAGGGGAAGACGGCATGTTGTCTGTGAGGGAGTGGCAGTGGAGGCCGAATTGTGTTTGACCCGCCCCTGGTCGTGGTTATCCAACGTCCCGTTCATTTGAAGGGCCGAGGAGGTGGAGGTTGACGACGACCAAGTATGAGAGGAAGACGTAGAGGAAAATGAGGCTGCGTTGGGGGGAACGTTACCTCTCAGGGGGTTACACTGAGTGGTTGATGGGGTGACCGATGAGGCAGTTGAAGCAGTGCATACGGGAGGCTGAGTTTTGATGACTGAAGTAGGGGGAGTAGCTACAGGATTGGGCTTTGGGTGGGGAACAGCAGCCTCGACTTGGGGCTTAGTCTGCGGCTGGGATGTGGACTGGCTGCTCTGCTTGGATGGAGGTGTGTGCACGGGGTCTAAGGCGGTGTTGTGGACCACCTTACTGAACCCCGTCTGATCCTGCTTGATCTTCAGCTTCAAGCCGATCTTCCTGCGAGCCTCATAGGTCTTCATCGGTGGCTTGCTGGTTCTCTGCGGGAGGGCGTCGTCGTCGGCGTCCGCCGCTTTAGCGTTGGAGGACGAAGAGGAAAAAGAGGATGATGCTGTGTGGGCGCGGCTGAAGGAGGAGCTGTGGCCGATGGGTTCAGACAGCCTGCTTTTTGCAGCTTGGGGTGCGGGACAGCTGCTGGACCAGGACACGGACGCTCCCCCTCCACCATGCTTTATAACTAATTTGGTAGGGGGGAAAGGGCTGGCAGAAGGGGCGGGAAGGGGTGCCGGAATTGGAGCAGGAACTGGAGCTGAAGCAGGAGCTAGGATGGGTGCAGGCGGGGGGTTCGGGGTGATGTTTGGCAGAAGGGCAGGAGCTGCAGGTGCTGGAGCCGGGACAGCTGCTGTTAGACCTCCACTCGCTGACGTGGTCTGAGCCGAAGATGATGATTTATGTTGGGATAAAACTACACTCTCCAACATGCGCGCGTTTGCCACAAACTCCTCTGCAATGTAAAAAAGTATGATATCATTAGAAAACACTTCAGTTACATCAATGCAACCATGATATTTGACCATGACAGTGGGAGGGTACCTGGTCGCTCCTTGGCCAAAATCCTGTCCTGACTCAGCGCAATCTTCTCCTCCTGGATGAACATCCGGTCAATCATGACCATCTCTGCCGAGGGGCCCAGTCTCTGCTCGGGTTGAAATGCCAGAAATCAGTTCAGCATCACTCCATGACAAAGAGGCGGCAAGAGGGCATATGGTGAGGATAATGGTTTATAAACTTACTTTTGACTCCGCGAAGAGCAGGCTGCGATACTTATCCAGCATAGCCTGGGTCCTCTTCAGGAGAGTGCTGGAGACCGTCTCAAACTCATCATCCACTGTGCAGGAGAAGCAACACGTGTGTGAAGTTCATGAAATTGAGATAAAGGTACAAAACTGCACACTGCATCTATTAAGAGTGTGGTACCTTTCTGATAGTCTTGAGACGAATTGGCGGTTCCCTGGTAGAGATGGTAAGGCAGCAGGCTGTGCAGTGTGTCCTCAAAGGAGTGGAAAGCAGCACTGTAGTTTGGGTGAAGCACTGAACCCTGCTGTTTCCTCAGCTGTTCTAGCATCCTGCAGACAGGTGTGTATAAAAGAAACAGTATTTAAAAATAAATTGCATTATGAGACAGTGACAATAAGTCGTTAAGACGCATGCGGCACACACCTTGCTTCTTTGCTGGGCTCTGCACTGAAAGGCATCTTCATTGTTGGTGTCTGCAATGTGAATTAACATTTAGAAAAAACAGATTAGCCTCCAAGCTGAAGCTTAAATATTAGAGGCAGTCTGTTAGGACTCCACTAACATGCAGTAACTCTTGACCTTTACCTGAGTTTGTACCGGAGCTAGGTGCTGTGGAGCAGTCATTTGAGTCAGACTAGTTCCTAACACCTGGATCTGCATCCCAGCTTTCCCAAGAGACATCCCTCCAACTGAGCTGATCACCCCCGGCTTTGGCTGAACCTGAGGGGGAAACCAGAAGGAGGGTTAGACACAGGGAGAGTACACAATTTGCAATTGAATATGTATTGCTGGGAAGTTGCGAAAGGGCAAGCACATGATGCAAAATGAACACCATGCATGTCCCTGGATAACTTTGACATGATTAATTGCTGCTTGTGCTGTAACCTCTCTTTTCACCCTCTGTCTGAAACCAGAGCCCAGTCTGCTCTGATTGGTTAGCTGGCTGGCTCTGTTGTGATTGGCCTATAACGTTCCATCTGTTTGAGTGCTAGCCAATATAAGCATGGGTGTTACATAGTGATGTCACTATTTTATGGAAATAACAAAAGGAAGCGTTTCAGGCAGAGGGGGGGGGGAGTGGGGAGAAAAACTCCCCCTGGAGGGAACTTTGAGATTGTAGTCTTTGCAGACCATTTACATGCACAAAAACCTATATAAAACACTATATGAAAGAGGAAAACCCCAAATGGAAAATAGGGCCCCTTTGAGATGGATGGTTGTACCTGTGCAGGCTGGGTAAGGCTGGCAGGAGTGACAGTCTGATTCACCATTGCTCCAGCTGGCCCTTGGGCTCCTGAGAATACCTGTAAGTCACTTGATGCTAAAAGAAGAAAAAGACAACATTGTTACAAAAGGGAACAAACTTGGTGTTGTGTTCTGGGTCCTGTGTGTCACTAGTGTCAATTGTTCTAACCTGTAGCAGGAGTTTTGACAAGAACCGATGTCGACTGCAGCACTGATAGCAGCTGAGCCGGGGAACCGGTGCCGGCTGATGGCGCAATCACCACTTTGTCGACAGGCACATCTTGCTGGGAGCTGAACTGACTGCTGGCTTGGGACTGGGACTGAGCAGCCTGCTTGGCCTGCAGCAGGATGTTCTGCTGCACCTGAAATCACATCAGGACAATTATCTTCCACGTGTCTAGATAAACCTGTTTGGTTCCCAAAGTGGACACGGACAAACAGTGCGAAAGAGCCTGACAGCATATCAGATGTACTCACCTAGTAAGCAGCAACTTATTGGACGTTTTAGCCCTCTTTCAATATATTAAATTGTATAACATTCTACTATAAAAACACTACAAAGTAAATGTTCTAAATTCTGCAAACAAGCCTATATTTTTTTAAGGTGCACATTTTCTACATGAGGGTAAGAAAAAGTACAATTTAACATGCAAATTCCATTACATCCTTTCATAAGCAGAAGGTGGCGAGGAACTGGGAAAATACCTGGTGTAGTTTGTCCAGCAGCTGTTTCTGCTGAGGTGAGGGCTGGGCGATGCCTGACAGGGTCTGAATCTGCGCTCCGACTAATTGCAGATGGTGCTGCTGCTCCGCTGTCAGGCCCTGGATAGGAACCTGGGCTTTAACTACAGCAGGGGCAGAAGTGCTGACAGGAAGAGCCGTAAACTGGTGCTGTGCAGGTGGTGCGGGAGGAGGAGGCTTGGGTGACTGTGACAGGGGAGGCATATCTTGTTGATAGGGGGCGGGCTGAGAGGCAGGTCGGGGCTGAGGCTGGAGCTGAATTTGAATGTGTGTCTGCTGGCCTTGCTGAGCCGGTTGGGGGGACTCTGCCATTTGGTTGTGGACGATGAAGAGCTGAGGGTGAGCTGAGGGTGTGCACGAGCGGGAGGGTGTTAGAGACTGGGGGTGAGGCTGGGAGGGAGGGCGTGACTGCTGCTGTTGGTGGTGCGGTGACTGGATCTGCTGGCTCAGAGTGAGAGGAGAGTGGGAAGGCTGGGGGCTGACTGCCATGGGGGGCGCTGTGACGTGAGTGGTCAAAGTCGGTGAGGGGCACATGCCCTGTATCTTCAGGGACTGCTGGTGTCCACTGGACGGTACCTGAAGAAGTGGGATCAAAACATTTGGATATGCTTATTTAAAATCAATAAGGCACTTACACAGAAGGAAACCAGGAAATCAAGCACAAACATCACACACACAACGTTCTGCATGCACACAGAATATAGCAAATATCACTCTAGTGCTATTCCATTTAAAATTTACAAAAAAGGTAAATGTTTCGCCCAACCCCGATAGAACATTTTACAAACATGGGTAAAACAACACCAAACGATACAAAAGCAAAGAGCTGGACATAAAAAATCTAGTAGTCGGTGAATTAACAGTAGTAAAAGCCTACAGGTTTTTCTCTAGCGCTTAAGGAAAATTAAACATAAAAAAGGAGCAATGATCATTTGGCGAGGCAAAAAGGAAACAGTTGACAAGAAGCAAGGAGTCTAGATTTGCGGGCCTGTGATGGAGGAGTAGGAGGTGATCTGAACACTTCAGGGACTGGGGTCTGGGGAGCATGAGTTATCGTGTGGGTGTCATTACACTGGTCAGACTGCGGGTAACAAGGGGTAGTGACACTGTGAGCACATGAGGGTCTAAGGATAAGTGCAGGGTGGAGAGATGAGGTTTAATTGGTCAGTAATGCAGCAGATGAAGGTGAGTTTGTTGATTCTAGTTACATGTTAGTAAAGAGGTGAACAAGGGCACCTGGCACCTTGGTCTTCTGATAAAAACATGAGCATGGATTTTGTATTCTGTTGCAAAATACACAAGGTAGAATGGATGAAAAAACATACCAAATTAGTTGAACAAATGTAGATAGGAAGACAAATGTCTCTTTTGTCAGTCCCACAATCTTTAGAGGTGCATAATGCATTAATATTAAAAAAGTGGCCGACAAACAATACAAATGGAATGATCATGCCTTTACATTAAATGAAGCGATTGTTAGAAACACACAGAGGCGGCAAGCAAGTCATTTGTGGAGCTTAGTAATTGCATTGCAACTGTGAGAGCCATGGAAGCGATGCAAAAGAGGAACACAGAGCAGTGACGGGGAAAGGGAAGAGACCCTAACACTGTGGCGGCAGCAGCAGCAACAAGTGGGTGGGGCTTAACATATAGGGGCATTTCTACCTGCTTTACCAGTGCTGTCATGTGGGAGGGGCCGGGGGAAGGGCTGTGGCTCTGACCCACCCATGAGTCAGTTAATTGGCTGTCATGGACAGCGGGGGCCGGAGCAGTGACGCTGTTGCTGCTGACGATAACGGACGCTGGTACGCCCACAGAGGGGGTTGACTCATTTTCAGTTTGGAGGTGCTGCTCCTGATAGGAGTACATTTACCATTTCAGGACGAAGGAGGGGGGAGGGAGGGAGGAAGGGGATTGGAGGGAAGGGGGGGTAAAATAGTAAACCAAAGAGGTCACACCAGGATTTCACGCCGTGCATGTTATTTATTCTTTAACAAAATGTTAACTTTTCGAAGAGCAACGTGTAAAGAGTAGAACACTGACCTGTTGCAGGAACATCTGCAGGGACTCCTGGCTCAGGATCATACTGGAGCCCTGGTTGGTGAACAGTAACCTCCCTGGACTGTGCTGAGCCTGATGGGGGACCAGCCCCATAGCTGTGACGGGGGAAGAGGTGGACATGGACGGAGAAGAGGGTACTGTGGTTACCGTGGACACGGAGGAAACCGGTTGCATGGCGAGGATGGAGGATTGCGTTGCATGCTGTTGAGTGGGGTGAGCCGCCTGGTCTGTGGAGCTACCAAGCAGGGTAACACACTCTCCAGGCTGGCCCTGAGCCATGGTTGCTGCTCCGGCGCTGCTGGGGACCCCCCCCGGCTGAGGCTGCAGGGCTGGCTGAAGGCTGACCGCGGGGCTCAGCCCCTCCACCTGACTGAGCATGGTCAGGGAGTTCTGGATTGGCATGCCCTGTATGACTGTCTGGCCATGACCAGAGACAGTGTGGGTCTGCGTATGGCCACTCTGAGCCAATGAGACAGGCATCTGAAAGAGGGTGGGTGTGCCCATCTGGCCCGACTGGAGCTGAATGGATCCAGAGAGGATGTGGGCCCCAGGATGGCCCTGTGAAGTCAACATCTGACCCAAGTTTATGTTCTGGTTTGAAGTTAAAATCTGGTTTGCAATAAGCTGTCCACCGGGGCCCTGGCTGGTTATGATGTGCCCCCCAGGGTGCTGAGTCAGGATCTGCCCGCCTGCCTGTAGTTGTGGCAGGAGAAACTGGTGGTTCTGACCTTGCAGAACAGTCTGAGAGGGAATAACGATGCTGCCTTGTTGGTTTAACAAGTGTAAGCTAAGGGGCTTGCCAGATTGTTGTGCTGCCTGTTGCTTGAATAGGGTTTGTTGAAACTGAGAACCTTGTGTTGTGGTTTGAGTACTAAGGACAACATTCGAGCCATGCTTCCCCGTTAGAAAGGCAACATTCTGAGCAGAAGTAACTGGAATTTGCTGAAGCCCGAGAGCCTTGTGAGCATCATTTTGCAGGGATTGGGGAAGTGGCTGCTGCTGCTGCTGTTGCTGTTTGAAAAGTTTCGGTTGGATGGCTCCCCCCTGAGGGGGTTTAGGCTGAATGGGTGTCGGTGTGCGCTGGATGATCACGTTCTGCATGATTGGGCCTTGATTTTGCGTATGGGGACCAATTCCTGAACTAAGAGTGGTGCTGCCGAAGCCCAGAAGCCCAGCAGGAGCAGTCATAGCACCGCCACTGCTGCTGTTTGTGGTGCCGACACAAACAGCCGGTCCATTTAAAGCTGAAGATCCCAAAGCGGCTTTGTTGCCGTGGATCAGAAGTCCACCCCCAGAGCCTCCAAGCCCGGGCTGAGAACCAGCACCTGAAACCTCTTGCCCAGACTGGTGCAGCTGGTAACCACCCATGGCTTTAGCCAGGATAGGCTGCCCAGACTGATTGATAGTCATGACTGTGGGCTGACCCACAACCTGAATCTGTCCGATACCCAAATGTCCAGGCTGGCTCCCATTAGGAAGAGTTTGGAGACTTGAAATGGGTTGAAGCGTCACATTTCCCAGGCCAACAGGCTGCATAAATGGCTGAACACTAATGGCCTTGTTCATGACCTGGGATTGGAGTTGAAGGCCCTGCTGGGCAAGCACTGACCCCAGCATGTCAGCTGTAGAATTGGGAGGTGTAGCAGTGGTGCTCTGGGCTGACCCAGGAAAAATCGCTGCTGCTCCCCCAACACCTATGCCTACACCAACAGCAGCCCCTCCGGCCCCTGAGAGGCCGGCATCAGGTAGTGTCTGCACCACCTGCGTAAGGCCTGGAATCCCAAACGAGCCCAGGTCCAGCTCACCCTCTGCCTCCTGTAAGCTTTGCTCTGTGATGTTGGCTTCAGCCAAGCTCTGCTGCAGGATGTCACATGGCTCGTGATTTGTCCCAATGCCATTGCTGCCACCGTCACCACCTGGGGATCCTCCCAAGATATCATCATCCTCCAGGAAGTCCAGGTCAACACTGACTCTGGGTAGGCCTGTCGGCTCATTGGCCGACAGCTGGACTGCAGGCTGGACCTCTGGAACATGGCCCTTGAAGGAAATCAGGAAAGAAGTGAAACCAGGCGATAGATACAATCGATGACTAGATGTGATGGCGAGGACTTAAACTGAGTTGACACAGAAATGCTGAATTGAAAACCCCACAGGAACATGTTGTTGCGGCAAATCAAAGCTTGCAGAGTGTAGATATGTTAGTGGAAAGGGAGGGTATTTGGAGATGCATGCTACATAGATGGATAGGAAACAGAAGGAGGAGGATTGGGGGGTTTTACTCACCCCAGTGGCAGAGAAGAACGAGCTGGAGGGGTCACTCGAACCATCCAATAGGTCGTCAGTGTCCAACTACAGACACACCCACCCAGGATAGGACAGACAGAAACCAAAGGCACCCAAACCAGCAGGCAAAAGCCACCAGGACAGAGAAACATACAGACCATCAAACAGAGGAGGAGGGCAAGGAAAGGACAGTCCAGAAAAACCCAGATTGAAAAGAACCAGCGAAAAGATAAGTGACAGAGGGCAAAATGATAGGGATAACACAGAGTTGGGAAGCGTTAGTATTAGCATTTCTCAATTTGGAAATAAGCCTTATAAAAAGGGAAGGCAGGCTGAAACCATAAATGGTGCAATCAAAAAGCAAGGGCATCCATAAAGCAGAGGAAGCCATTAAGGGATAAATGAAAGCAGTGAGGGACCAGGGTTTCAGGGTGCATAGATGTGTAATCAGAAAGGGACTTGCGTACACACAGTCATGAGAGCGCCAACTAAAATGCACACAACTAAGACTCCTCATCTCATCAACTGCAAACCCCTTTTTCTTGATCTTTATCACCATCCAAAATATGTGGGTTTTTTCATACTCACATGGGTCTCAGATCCATGAAGAAAGTCATTGAGAGCTTCTGGGTCACTGCAGGAGAAAACAATGTTATTCACAACAGTTCAAGACTAAATGTAAGACATATGACTGCTAAAACTGATCTTGCAATGTGTCAGTGATGACTTACCAGATTACATCTAGAAGGCACCTGCCATCTTCATCATCCATGACAACTGTTAAAGATGAAAAAGGTTTTAAAGTCCAGTAAAGTCTAAATACTTGACAATATATATTATATTACATTACATGTTACTTATTAGATGCTTTTATCCAAAGCGACTTACATACTCAATACTGTGGACAATCCCCACAGGAGCAATTTGGGGTGAAGTGTCTTGCCCAGGGACACAACGACATGCTGACTGCAGTGGGGTTTGAACCTGTGACCCCCTGATCCCAACACCAAGGCTCTACCCACTGCGCCACACGCCTCTATATTATATATACTTAAAGATATTAGTTTTTTAAGAAGTGCATTTCAAGAAGTCAATAAAAAGAACCCTTTTAAGAATGCAATAATATTTTTGAACTATGTGTTAACAGATACATTTCTATTATATTGTTATTTGTATACAATATTCTGTGATATTCTGGCTCCCTATTTAGTTATTTGGTTGTTATGGGTGATGTATTTTGACAGGAGTTCGCCAGGTCAGATGATGATGATCCACAATAAAACTGCATGACCTTTTTCAAATGCTCCTCTTATTCAGTGTGTCAAGGACTATTTTACTGTGGCTAAATTGTCATTTTAAAGTCAAAAATCGAAATGACATTTGATGGAATATTTCAGCACAGTTCAGTTCTGCACATTATTATTATTATAACAGATTTTTTGATTTTTTTTTAATGATATTAGATTCACATGTGTCATGAGCCATGGCAAAAAACGTGCTAGATAAATCGTTCTAAATCAAGGTTGCATTTGCTATGAAATAGGTTTTTTAGTTTAAATAATAATTGTTCAAACAAACTCAACCAGGGTCCCCATATAGAAACATGTAGTTCTTCTAGCTTGTCCACATGTCTCCCAATGTTTTTCTACCTAGGGCTTAAGTACAGCACCCAAGCATCTTTGTGCACCATCTAAGCCAAATGGATGTGGAGCATAACTTTAAGATTTTGCTTGAGCTTTATGTACACAGATATGGTTATAATAATGGTCCAACATGATGTGCAATATGATTATCTCTTTACTTGCGCTATCAACACTTCTGACTGAAAAGTGTGCACAACTATTTTCCTGAGTTTAAATAAAGTTGTATGTTATCCTTTAAATGTGTGATTAAAAAATCATTGCCAAGGTTGAATACTTTTTGTTTTATCTCACAATGTCTGCGGTTTGTTTTACACATTTAAATGGCGAGTAATGACTTCAAATATATCACGTATTGCTGTCATGCAGCTTGCAGTGGGTCTTTTGGGGATAAGGCAAGGAAAGAAAAAATATTTTTATATTAAGAAATATGTTTTACTTTAAAAAGAAAACAAAAGTTTTTATTGTTAACATAAACCCATCTTCATCATCAGTTGTAACAAGTCATGTTTTCACTCAACAAGAAACATTCTAAACAAACCTGTTGTTGTGAACTCATGAGATCAAGCCGCAATTGTGTTTGCAACACAGCGAAAAGGATTGCAATAGACAACAAACTGAAAACGCGCGGTTTTCCCCTGGAAAAATTAGGAGTGCGGGCTATCGCTTAAATTGCCAACAAGTCTAAACAACTGTGCATAGCACTTGTAGTAACACCATAACAACACGTTAACAAAAAGTCAATTTAACCGTGGCTATGAGAGCAACACATCCCCAGTTGCCGCTCTAAAGGCAGCGGATCGTAGCCATTGCTCGGTCAGAGCAGCCAGTGCGCAGGATATGAATGGAGACACTGCAAGCGGCTTGCTACATGCTAGCTGCTGTTTTCAAAGAGCTTTTGCATGCATAATTTTTCGATTCGTAACATTGCACAGCATTAAACAGCAATGCGACTTACTTAACACTCTAATTAAATAAAACGTATGATTTCAAAACCTCGTTCTGACTACATTTCCAGCATTTTGATGCATCTGGGTTGAATTTCGTTAGCCTAGCTAGCTAGCTTGGTAAGCCAACCCAGCTATCAACAATATTCAGACGCACAGCTAGCTTGAGCCTTTGACATTCAAAACAAACCACCGAGTGACATTATTTTAACACTAACATTGCACAGAGGCAGGTCAACTCGACCGAGACCTTAAAGTACTGTTTGCTCAGAAGTGTGGACGCAATTGCGTAACGAGCTATCTATCTCTGCTTCCAAGCAAAATATGAGTAAATGTTGGAATACTCTGGGATGAAGGGGGTATGCTTGGGAATTCGGTGGAAAATGACCATGTTTGCCGGGCCGTGCAGCCATGTGGCGTTTGGGTTGCGATAGCTGTGCAGTTAGCAGATTCGCTGAAGAACCCGAATATTGCAGCGTTGATACAGTTATTGGGATAAATAGAGAAATCTCTACATTTGTAACAAACTCACCCGAGACGATAGAGGTGCAGGCAGCGCGGGGTCTCCAGGACAGCCTCGCACGGGCTGCTGTACAGGACCCAACTAGAGACAGGAAACAGGAGACTTCCCTTTTGCCTGAATGAAATCCGTGCCTCGTCTGAGTTCCTCATCGACATGTACCCCTACTTTTTTCAGTGTTGCTGAGATAAATCACTTACTTATCGTACAAATAACACAATAGCAAAGCACTTGACTAAAAGTCCTGCACTCAACACCTTACTTAAGTAAACGTATTTAGACTGAAGATGTATAGGCTACTTCTACTTCGTCAAAAGTAAAAGTGTTCAGTATGCAGTAAAATGTTCCCTTTCAGTTTTTTACTATTATTCATGAAGTCTCAAGATAATTATTATTGCTGCATTGATCTGTTAAATTGTTACTGCTGTATAAGTAGATAACACTTCCACATACAGTACATTGGACAAAAGCCTTGCACAGTTTTTAAGAGTATTTGTATTCCCTGTCAAATTGGACACATTTTGGGACGTTGGAAATCTGGGGACTTTTCCTCATAATGACTGTCAAGCTAATGCTTAAAATCATCTAAAAACTAAGAGACTGTCCTTTGTCTGGTAGAAACCATTTCTATGATCAGGACATCTCGATCCAGAGTTTATACTGGATAATATAAAGTTGCCTATTACAATTGTAGTTGTATACTCCCAAACTCCACCCCATCTCATCTCAGAGGAAAATATTTCACTTTGTAGTCTATAATTTTTTTTGTTAACCTTACTAGTCACTGCAGATTTTGATATTAAATACAAAATAGAAAAATTATCGAATAATCTCATTATACATTAGCTTCCCAGCAGTATATTGAGTATTTAAAAATAACTCCATCTTAACCAGCTACATTATTAATCTCTTTTAAAAAAACATTTCTTAAACTGGTAACTACACATGAACACATGCTCATATTGTTTAAACTTTATTCAATGCTATAGTATCAGTAGTCAAAAGTAAGTACTTATACAATGTTAACACTCCACTCTCCTACTTTACCTAAATATTTCCACTTTACGCCTTGTATATTTCTTATCAACAATATTCAGAGGCAAATTTAGATTTTTACACTATTTCCTAACTATATTTACAGGTTGATTTTCAAATTCAGATTAATAATATGTAATATTTCCAACAATAAATAATGATGTATGTCAACAAGCTACCGAGCAGTAGATAAAGTATTTGAAACCAGGCCCTTTTTTATTTTACTAATTTGAATTTGTGTACACAACAATGCATGATAATGCAATAATATAAAAGGCTATACATTATTCTGAAATGGGACGTTATGCACGGACTTTTTGCACACTTAGCCATTATCACCATACTCGTACTTTGTCACTAAGTATTTATTCTCAGTTCATCTAAGAATATCTCAGTACTTTTTCCACGACGGTGAATCTGAGATAGATGGAAGCCAGATTTTTTTTTCAGAGCACCTGAACGCAGCAGCCCCCCATTCCTCTGACAGGGTTTACTTTGCGGCAGGTGACGTGACAGAGTCAAACCCGCTGCTCTTAGCTCTCATAGCAAGTTTGTTGACTTTCGCAATTCCTCGCTCTTCCCTCAGCACACAGAGCAGTGACACGAAAAATGGACAATAGCGGGAAAGAAAAAGAAGCCACGGCTTTGATGGCCGAGGCTGAGAAGAAGATGAAATCCTCGCAGTCGTTTTTCGGAGCGATCTTTGGGTGAGTTTTTCAGCTAGCTTCTGCTAACCTGTCAAAGCTAAAGGCCAGCTAAGCGGAAGAAGGCTGTAGAAGGCTGGACTTAAACAAATCAACACCACCGCAACACTTGGGCTGGTTTTATCTCAAAATAAGCTGTTGTGGTCAATGTGATTCAAGTGGTGTTAACGCTGCAGTCAAGCTGAATATGTAGCCTTATCTTCGTTCAGATCACTGTTAAACAAAGAAGAAGTGAGGCTAACATGTAGCTGTGTACAGCAGTGGATGACACTTAGTTACACAATGACACGTTTGTACTACATCAGGCGCTTTGATCAAAGTCAACCGGTTAGCATTTTAAGTAATTCACATTTTACACTGATTATTATTGTAATATTGCTGCTATGGCGTCATCTACAGGGAACATCTTGCAATGCCACTCAGCCTGTAGGTGCAGATCACATGTTCATCACGTTTGTTTACAATAACAGATTGGGACGGAGTTGTGAGTGCATCTCAAACAAATGAAACCCTTACCCACTATCATATTAGAGGATGGATGTAACAATCCAAATCAGCTTAAAATATTAAAGTGAGGCTCTGTTTACTCAGAAACTTACATGCATTCAGGTAGAAAAAAGAATGAGCCCCCCAGAGGGGACATTCAGGTGTTGCAGACAGAAATTAGTGCAGGTACATAAAAAGTCAGTATTGTAAAACAGAATAATATATAATGTGATTTGATAATGATACTTGCTGTCTGTATTTGCTGTATCAATATAGCAACATATTAGAAATATAACATAGTAAGAAAGTATTATAACATTTTAATATAAAATATTATGGTACAGTGCAGATATAGCTTAAAATAATAATACAAATAATAACAAAAACAATGTTTAGTAAAGTGTGTGTGTTATGATCAAATGGGTCTGTATGCATAATTCGATTTCAATGGATATCAAGGTATTGATCATAAAATGTGTTCTTATTCCAATATGTTTATAACAATTTTTTAATGATAAAGAATTGTTCCAAATTAATAATTTCAATTGCGTCTTTTTGAAAACAAATAACAACATCATTATGTTTAATTTTAATACTTTCAGTAGGACTTTTCTGAACGTCTTATGACCGTTTTTAACTGAATTAACAGTGAGTGGTTATCTCACACTTACTTTCATAATGAAGTCACAGCTGTTTGTTTATAACGCTTTTACAACAACCTTGAACACGGCTTAGCCAATCATAAACAAGGAACGAAACTATACGTTTAATAAGTATCTTTGTTATCAATATCTAGTAATAAACTATTACAGCACTTGATATTGTCAATGTCACCCAGTCATACTCAGTGTGAGTGTTGCCTAACTGAAAATGTGTTGACCCACAGGGGGGGATCCTCCAAGCTGGAAGAGGCCTGTGACATGTTCGTGAGGGCAGCCAACATGTACAAAATGGCCAAGAATTGGTGTGGTAAGAATAATTATTTCAGATTGATTGAAAATGTATTGATTGCTTCTCTCCGTGTTTAGGTCTGTGACGTCTTTAAACCCTACCAACATGTAATATTTTCTTTTCAGCTGCAGGAAATGCGTTCTCCCAAGCCGCTAACCTCCACCTCCAGATGCAGAGCAAACACGACGCAGCGACTAACTTCATAGATGCTGGAAACGCCTTCAAAAAAGCAGACCCTCAAGGTAATCATTATTCATCCTCACCACCCTCAGGAGTATATAAGTGCTCAGCTCACATAAAGGCTGCTGTACCAGTTCCAGTGGACCATGTCCATGAAGTCAGCTGATGTCATTAAGGTCTTCAAGGCGAAGAGCTTCAACAGCAAAATTCATGCCGCTTCCCACTGTGAGAAAATGGGATTGTGGAAAGATGAAAGCATTTGACTGTAGCCTTGAACCTTGCATATCGCACAGCTGGTGGCTAATCATTTTGTTAATTTAATAAAAAGTAATTTTTTATTGATGTAAATTCACTAAATAATTGTGCTTTACATATTATTAATTTTCTCAACAGAGGCAATAAACTGCTTAAACAGAGCTATTGAGATTTACACTGACATGGTGAGTGTGAAAACTCTTCTTTGTTTATTAATGAAACATTCCTAATATTTACTTAACATGACCCTTCAATCTCTTCTTTGTTGTGTTTTTTTATCCGGGGCTTTAGGGCCGCTTCACCATCGCAGCCAAGCATCACATCACCATAGCTGAAATATATGAGACTGAGATGGTGGACATAGACAAGGTCAGATATCAGTCTTCACCTTTATTACCTTTATTGTATTCATTCCTGGGTAGACTCTTACGTACTTCTTATTACAACTAATAGCTGTTCTTTTATAATCTCTCTCTCTTATGTCCATTTTCTATTCCAGGCCATTGCTCATTACGAACAGGCGGCAGATTATTACAAGGGGGAAGAATCCACCAGGTGAGTGTCAGATCAGCAATATTTCAGATGTTTTCTCTTTGCTCATTTTAGGGTGTAATGGTTATTTCCCCTTAATGAAAGCACTACATTTGAATTTTGCATCTACCTAAATGGGTGTATGTATATGTGTACATATGTATGTGTATATATAGAATTTTGTTTATTTGTGTGCTTATTTAATTAAGTATTGAATAGGCGCATTCACACCGCAGTACTTTTCCCACAAAGGTTCATCAGAACTTAGTTCATGAGAACTCTTTAGTTCTCATGGACTAAGTACAGATCGCGTTCACACCGGAATAGGTTCCTGGGGGAGGATTAGGCAAATGAAGCCGCTGACGTCACTTCTTCTTCTTCTTCTGCTTTGGGTTTACTGGCAGGCCGCAAACAACTTCACGGCGTATACTGCCACCCGAAGTCCCCGGCCGGAAGTCCCCGGAGTTTGGGACTGGCTTCAGTAGAAGCTGCTGGGACTCCCAGCAGCTTCTACTGAAGCCTTTCGAGTAAATCGCCAGAACGCCGACACCTCCTCATCACTCCACCGCTCCCATGTTTTCTTTTGTGTTGCCATAAGTTAGTCTCTCTGCGTTTCTGCGCTGGGCTAATGCTAATGCTAATAATGCTAATGCGAGGATAATAAAATGGCGGCTTCACAAAACTTTTTGGGAGTTTTACGGGGCGTGGTTTGCATTCCGCCCAGCCAATGAGACATATGAACCTTTTTCTCCCACGAAAGTACCTGCTCTCTAGCAGGGACGGAAAAGGGGGTAAAAAAGGTTCTAATGAACTAATTTTAGTCACGGCTTTTTTTGGTGTGTGAACGCGACATTTCGGAACTATCGCGGAACTAAAGTGGGAAAAGTAGTGCGGTGTGAACGCGGCTTAAATTTTGTCTTTA